CCGAGGGAAATCTAGGAAAAAAAGTGAAGGCAAAAACAGAGTTTTTATAGTTGCACCCTTTGATACCACATATAATCAACCTGTTAGCATGCCAACAAGCAATCGTTTGTCATTCAGGCAAAGTTTTTTAAGTTTGACGAAAAATTCTTTCTTCTGCTTGTCAGAATATTCGTTAAGATTGACATATGGCATTAAACAATGTACTTTAGAATACAACGAATAAAAGTGGGTTCGAAGAAAGGGGTCAAATTTTTCTCAGCTGATTTGTTTACCAGAAACATTTTCCAATCTTTCTTACCGACTAGCCTTTCTACTCCTAAGATTTTGTTTAATTTTAACAATCTCCGACCCTGATATCGAAAACAATTGTTTTCTGCGACTCTTCCATGTAAATTCTGGGTGCTTCTGAAACTACAAGTTTGATAAATTTTGGATAGTTAGGGCGCTATTGTTCTTAAGAAGCGTCAGTGAACTGTTTAACACGGGGCCTAGGAAATTAGACGACAAGCAATTTAGACGGATGCTACAAAATTGAAAATAGACGAGGCTTTTTTTTACAGATTTGGCATTTTAGACGTCACTGGTAAAAAAAAAGAAAAGGCCAACGAAATTTGTTCCAGGATCAAGTTTCAGAAAAACAAAGAGAACATAAAATGACAAAAATTATCAAAACAATTAGTTTAAATGAACCTGAAATGTCAAATCCAAATATTACAGGAGAGTTTTGAATTGAATAAATTATGCTTGGTTGACGTAACATTTTTGGCCAGCCTTGAAAAGTTTTGTACAAGGTTTGACTTGGTCGAATGTTTTCAGTATACAAATTGCAAAGATTGCTCCGACCGAATGATGTTTCGTTCAGAAATTAAGAAATAACAAAAAAGAGCAAAAATTTTGTGAAAAAAAAAGATTTTTGAAACAAAATTCATTTGGTAGAAGTAGGGGATATTTTCTTTATGTTCGCTCACACACTCGAACTTAATGGCACCGCAAAGTGGTCCCTTGGGTTATGAATTCAGAGAAGCGACTGAGATTCACTCTCATCCACAATCCGGAAAAAGTTAAGTTGGTGGCAAAAATTCTGCCCCCTCCGCACTGCTCTTAAGATTGTATCGTTCTCAATCAAAACAATTGTAAAAGTTGCCGATCGTAATCAAATTCAGATTAAAAAGTTTAAATACAGATGACTCTGAGTGGCCATAAAACAATTTAACATTCTACTCAAAGGAAAAGATCCGCGCTTCACAACACAATTTCCTAAATGAAATCAGGTTCAATCAAAAAAATCGACTGATCAATTCTCCTTTTTTAGAGATCATAACTAATCGATTACTCTGATTAACTCTACGCAACTACTCAGTTCAACCTGCTGAGAATTATTAGTGTCTCTACGGATCACTATTCCTTTGAAGTACTTTAACTGGTTTCTCAAATTTCAGAAATCCTTGTTCTCGACTCTGATGAAAAAACTTTCTACCAACTTCGCAATCTCTCGTCTCTCTAAAGGTGGGCTATTTGTGATTCTCTGTAAATTTTTCTATTTGAAATTTAGGTATATTTAGAATTATGATCGTCCCTACAAGACCTGAAACTTACTTTTGTACCTCATACTTAAGGCCTCAACTGAGAATACAAGTCCTAAATTTCATGTTCCCCATAGGTGTTTCCAAATCAGTGGGCCAAATTGCATATCCATTTTCATCTTCAATTCAAGTTATGTTTACTTTAACAACATAGCAAGGTTTTTATTCAGTTATCGCGTTAACATTTCGACCTCACGGGGTTTCGGAAGACCCTTCTCAAAGGTCGCTAAATAGTTCCAAGCATCCAAGAATCTCACTGTACTTTGTTCCAATCCTCACCTTCTAGCTGTTAGGGTAATGTAATTAGCCTATTAGGGATTAAATTGTGCCAAAAAGCCACCTCTGAGGAACTAAGTAATTATACCTTTCATTCATGTTATTCGGAGACATACTTCTCAACTCGCGCTCCTTTCACTGCCATTTTTGGGACTACCTTGTGTTAGCCTGGTTGAATTTTCCTTTTTAGCTCATTTGCCAAGCTAAGCTGAACCCATTTTAGTTAGGTCAACTATTTCACAGTTTCAATGTAATATTTTTACATTCTTCTCAGCTACTGCTTCAGTTCCCAATATATAAATTTGCTCTTGATTGTAACTAGGGTGAGTAATTGCTATCTCCACGGTTTCGGGATGGGAAAATCGTCTCACTTCGAGGTTGACGCTTGTGTTTTCTATGCAGCTTTTGGTCATAAACGCCTAAAGATCAAGTAAAGATCAACCCGGGGTCACCTATGATCAATCTTTTAGATGAGTGTATAATTCCATTGGGAAAGCTATCTACTAAGTTTCATCCATATTGCATTAAAATTTCTCAAATTATAAAAGTTCTTATGTCCATCATCTTTTCTTTTGCTGTTGGGAAAAAGCTATTAACACCGGAAGGTGTCGCCGGAGGTATTTTGCTCACCCACCTGTGAGTTTTTTGGGGTTGGTTTCTAGTGCCGCGACAAAATCAATATTCCCTCGGTCTTTTTTGCGCAAATTGACTGTTTTCGAATGAGTGGTTTTTTGCAGAGTGCTAATAACTTCCGGTCCAACCGCTAGATTTGGCTCAACTTATACCACATGATGTCTCTTGTCACTCCCTATCATATCCCTGAGTTCAGACTTTTTGGCTCTCTGCGTTCAGTGTTGGCCGGGAAAAAAGTTCCGGGACTTTGTTTGAGGACTATTTGCTTAGGGCATAACAAGGAAAATAGGTGTCCATGGGTCTGGAACTCCAAATTTAAGCTTCCTTCAACTAGGTCAATAACTAACAGACCAAAATTTGGTCACAACCTATCCGCTAGTTACCGACTTCTGATAGGACTAGTTGCCATTCCGGGAATCATTATCACTTGGAGCAGGGAGTCCGAAGGGTCCGGATTACCGCAAGCCCGCGTCGACTCTTCTTTATCATCCTCTGTAATAGTTTCATAATGTAAGCTTCCTTAGTTTCCATTTGAGGGTATCGCTATCGGTACCGTCTTATAAGCCAGACAGAGGAAGGAATAATTTTTTTCCAGATTTCAATAATTTCGCGATGATTCATTCCTTTGCTTTTCTACCTATCGTCTTGCTGAGTCAAAACATAATACTCATTAACTTTCACATTATAGTTATACCGCAGTTGCCTTACATAATGATTTCTAAATTGTACTGTGAGATTTGATACTTTGGCAAGGTTGAATTCGAGAATCGGGTTAATCTTTCCATCCCCCTAACCTAACTAATGTGCAGCAGAAAGCGTTCAAGCGCAAAGCTTACCTTTATTCATTTAAAATGCAGAAACTGTACCGGGACGTGCAAATTCTTCTGACCGACCTGACAATCACCTCTATTCGACGCACTATCAACGGGACATATTTGGACCACAAAGGGGAAAGGAAAAAGTTAGAGCCGGTTACCGGCTCTAAGTACATTGAAGAGTCTTTGCGAGGGCGCTGCCAAAACGTTTGCCTCAGATGGAAGGAGTACGAAAAGCGACGGGCCGTTTTGTCAAGTGACGGCCCCATGAAACATCTTAGACAGGAGACCTGCCGCCAGTAATGCGAGAGACTGGGTTTACACCAACTGCCGCTTACACTGAGGACTGTTCAACAATAGTTGCATTTACGCACGAACGGATTCTTGCTGAATGCGCCCGCCCCAAATTGTAGTACTTTCTGTACTGTTTGCATTACTTATTCATCTGGAAACACGCCGTTGCCACTCAACTTCAGCAAAAACTTAGAGAACAGCCGCAAAAAAACCATCCCGGTCCCATTCATTCTATTACCCTCCTTTTGACCCTAAATTATCGCTATTCGACCGAGGAAGGCTTTGATCGGCGGAATTGCATATTTGTGCGGCAGTCTTTGGGGTTCAGATTTAGAAGTATCGAGACGACAAAAAGGACCTCGCTGGAATTATTTTAGGGGCATGAAGTTGGTCGGGATAGGGCGAAAGTGATCTACATGTTTTGCCGTGATCAGACAGAGGGGCCTCGAAAGGGGGAGGGACATTCCGCGCTAGTTACGGGGATGCGTCCACGTATGACTTAGGTAAGCCTCGAATTAACAGTTTTGCACTTTTAACTTTCAAAGCTACTTTCTAACTATTATTTTCAAAGCTACTTTCTAACTATTTTCTAACTATCAAAACTACTTTCTAACTATTACTTTCTAACTATTTTCTAACTATTATTTCTAACTATTATTTCATTCATTAGTTTTTCAACCTATAACATCAAGTGACGTTTAATGAGAAGCTGAAATATTTGACGGTTTAATAGGTGCTAGAACAATATGAAATTGTGAGCGCAGACTTATTGATCTTTCCGTCTACACTACATGGAGGCATCGATGAGACTGCGCTCACAGTTTTAGATTGTTCTAGCACTTATTAGCCCGTCAATTTTTAAAAGTTTTTTGATACGTCAAGTTTTTCAGGAAAAAGGAAAAATTCCACACTGATTTTTTCTTGATTTCAGACTTGTTTTTGCTTTTCATGGACTCTGAATCACGAACGTGACTTCTGAGTATGATTGTACTCTTGACTCCCTGCAAGATTTCTTTGCCGTATCTAAAATTGGGCAAGAAAAAACACTATCCTATAATTTTTTCCACTGACTTTCAGTCACGAGCTCGGAACGAGACGACAATAAAAAACTGCAAAAATAAAATTTATTATTTTGAATATGGGAAGCAGATTTTGAAATTTTTGGACACTCTAAAAATCTGCCAAAATCTATTGTTTTGATTGCCTGAACTGGCCACAAAAAACAACGTGACAAGTGAATAAAAACTCGATTTTTTTCGAACATTCGAATGGGTCAATTGACAACCATAACTTATGATTTAATAATAGAAAATGCTGGAAAACATAGTAGAACTTTTTAATTTCACGATTTAAACCTTCACCTTTCCCAAAAACATTTAGATGACTAATATTAGCCATTAGTAAATATCTTCGGTAACATCCATAAACATGCCATGATAGTTTTGTACACCCAATAATCGTTCAAACTTACTGATCCAATTTGCTCAAAATGAGTTCGGCGCTTTTCAAGTTTCTCTTTTTACATGCTAATTTTATCTATTTTGGCTCGGTTTGTGCTCGATTTGTGGACTTTCCGCAATGCACTGCAGTTGCACCAGCAGAAATATCTTCGGACTTCTACCACGGCAGGTGGTTCGTGATCAAAACAGCAGTGGGAACGGAGCAGTTGGGAGCCACGTGCACTTCTGTCCAGTTCACACTTGTCGCGATGAGTAAAACTGACTGTGAGTTTTAACAACCACCTGTTTTCTTATCTGTTCTTCTACGCTCCAAAACCGAGGTTTGAAGTTATTTTGAAAATTAGAAGCTCTTTTTTCTCTCCCCCCCCCCCCCCCCCCCCCACGACCTGCAAGTTTTTTTACAATCAAATTAAAGAATTTGTCCATATTGTCCATTTTTGTTACGCAAACTGACATGCGGACTAAGTAGGCCAAGACAAACATGTTCAGTCTTCATGCTTAATCTTGTAAAATCACTTATTAAACCATAAAAATGATGCTCGTCCAATGTGGAGGGGGGGGAGGAAAAAGAGCCCAAATGAATACCCACGTCATGATTACGCCCAAAAACCGCTCCAAGTTAGCATCACATCTTCATCAGCCATTTGGCTAGCGCCTGATAAGCCAGATTACTTCAAGGACACAACCGACAGAAATATTTGACAGCCATAGCCGATATGTTGACAGATGCACGTCACACACCACCAATTTTGTAATCAAGAAGCTCTGCAGAACAAAGAGATTAAGTTAAAGTCATCACATGATATAAATGACGAAATCGGACGCAGAACGAACTGGAACCTGATCTAAACTGCATTTTATGATTGGATAAATTAGATATTTTACCAATGTAAAGTATTTAATATTAACCAATCATGATCCATCTAACTAACAACCCACTTATTTGTAAGTGCTGAAATTACTTCTAATTTCAGCACCAGAGAGATTTGAATTTAACTTAGAAATTAGTTGGACTCTCCCGAGCACTTCAACAGCCGCAATAAACCAGTATACCCTAGATCTATTGAGCCTAGCAGAGACTAGTTAAACAACCTGAGACTAGATAGTATAAGAGTAAGATTAGGATCGGTATTAGACTAAGAAGTTGCACGAATCTATCCGGCCGAAAATAAGATAGCGTGACGAGCAGACGGTGTACCCTATCCGAAATTACTCTATGAGTTAACCAACTCGGTCCTAACTCATCTGGTGCGACCATAAGTCTCGAACAAGACCTTAATAGCTTAGAATTAACCAAAATAGATTAGAAATTAGACAAAAACATTTACAAAATGTTATACGACAATAATTTAATCGAAATGTCTCTACGACTCAATAGATCAGAGCCAATATTCCGAACCATAACAGAACTACCCGGAATTGGAAGAAGACCTCGAACCAGAGACGACATACGACAAAGTAGAAACTTGCCATATAGCTATATGATAGTTAGGCAAAAACCAGAACAAACTTTTATATTTAGAATACTACTGGCAATGAATTTAGATTTTCATTTGCAAACATAAAACCTTGAAGTTAATCTTCAAAATCATTTCAGGCGCTAAACAAAATTATTAATATACAATAACGATTGATAAAAAGATCTAAGATCGTTTTCCTAAAACTCTGCAGTAATATATTTATTGAAAAATAAAAAATAAAAATTAGTAGCATGACAATAAATGGTTAGTAATCATAAATCATCCTGTTGTTCCAGCTCCATCATCTAAAACATAACAGCAATCATAAACCCACTAATATCATCAAAACACTAAATCTTTCCTTTACACACATTTAAAATTTTATTAAAACTTAAATTCACTTAATTTTAAAACCAGATCATCAAGGCTTATCCTTGGATCTTAAATCATTTTCTACTTAATTAAATTTCAAATTTGATCATCAAGGCTTATCCTTGGATCAAACAGAACAACTTTGTTCTCCCCCACCCACTTAATTAGTGTCTAACGACCTCAAACGTCGATTCACTACCCAACCCTTTCTAAAGACCCAAGACTAATAGAAATTTTTAAACAAAACTAATCATTCAAATTAGGATAAACAGTGAAGAACTTCGGTTATTCATCCTTCACTTGACCCCCCTCTTACCAGACCCAGGATAAATCTTAGACTTAGTAAGTTTAAAATAGTATCTAACGAACTACTCGCGTTCTAATTATACCTGAACCTTGTGGATCGATTTACTATTCTCCAACCCTTGAACACAATCACTACCCCTAAGTAAGATTAAGTAAGTTAACACCTTAACTTATACTAGCCACGAGAAAGTAAAAAATCATTCTTCGGAATCGATATACTTTTCTCTCCAACCCTGAACAAACAGACCCAGGTTAAGCTAACCAAAAAATCGTAAGAACTAACAGTTTAAGAAAATAGAAACCATTTAACAACCTTTTGCATCCGTCATCCTAAACCTTATGTCATTTAAAAACCTAGGAAATAAACAAACAATCGTTTTACACAATTGTGAAATAGATAACAAAAAATACGACCTTGTAATCACACCTCATACACAAACAGTTGGATACATTCGAACAAAACGACAAACACTAAAAAGAAAAATAATAACGAAACAAAGACAAATAACACGAAAAAGATTTTCAAAAAACCGAAACGCATTTTCAGAATCAGAAACCAACAGTTTAGACGAACTTTACAAACTAAAAGAATCAATAGATAAAAATTGCCCACTTCACGATCAATTATATTTTTCTGACTCAGAAACAACTTCAAATTCATCAAAAAGAGGAAAAAGAAGAATAAAAAAGCAGTATAAACACAAACCAGTACATTTATATAATTGGAATCAACCAATTCGACACATTAATAATTACATATTAACAGTCATCGAACGAAAAAATGAGCTCAACGCACACCCCAGGTGAAGAAAGTCCAGATGATGATGAAATCTTTCCTTTTATAGTAGATGCAACCACTGATAGAGGACAGCATATATTTTGCAAAAATTTACTATTAAATTTATTTGAACCCGGAATCAGTCCATGTAAAACAGAGTTCCCAGATGTAAAAATCAAAAGACAAATCATAGACCACTACTTAAAAGATATATGCAACATAACACAACAGTATGGAATCTACTCCATAGAATTCACCTCACCAAACCATAATAATAGAAAATATACAATTCAAACAGACGATCTTGATTTAGAATTTTCAAAAGTTTTTTCAGAATATATAAAAAGCATCCAATATCATAACTCACAAAGAGCAAACTCCATATTCACCAATGAAGTTTTCGCAATAATATATAGTTATATTTCGATATTAGAAAATGAAATCCCAATAACAAATGTCTCACCGACAGAAACATCTAAACATTTAAGAGTACGACATGAAATCACACTACTCTCTAGTTATTTAAACATCATTAAAGAAAATTTCACGAAAGACGACGTTTCACAACATACAAAACACGATCTACAAAAAATTTTGGCATGGTTCATAATAGATTATTTCACACACAATATTGATTTAATTGCACAAGCAAGAAAAAATTTTAGACCCCAAAACTCGAACGATGATACCGCTATCACAGAACAATCAGATTATGTTTGGGACCCCGAATGGTCTCATCCCGCATTTATAAGCTTCCCACAAACAATCTCAAGTCAAGCAATAAGTACGATATCTTACATAAGAGATTATGTAAATGTAATACCATTAACCATTGATGCAACACCATTAAACTATAATACATTTTTGCCCGATACACAAAATAATAGTTTAAACTCTACAGTCATACACAATGAAAACCTCAATGGAACTAGGAATCTTACTCAACAAGATATCCAGACACCATCACACTTCATAAATGAAGAAATTGTACACACAACAACTACACAACAAAGTATTTCACCAATACGCCCAAATTTAACAACACCAAGAAATACAAATCCTTCACAAACACAGGTAACCTTACAATCAACCGTTAAACCTTCGGTTGCTCCTAAATATTCACATATGGATTACCAAACATACAGACCCATGACAATACCATCAAAAACACGCAAAACATTCACTAGAAACAACTTTGCAGACCATAATTATAATTATACACATCCATCAAAAACATATAACCAACCACAAAGAAATTTTAACCAATATACAAGATCTCGAAATTGGGATAACCCAATGACCCAACCTAATTCAATAAATTTCCAAACAAATCCTCCACAGGATCACAGTGAAAATTACCCATTTTTTCAACAAAATAAAAATAAAAAACAGACATCTTACCAAATGGATTATTTATCCTCAGATGATGATTTCTTACAACCAGATATATTTGCACCAAATACTCAAGAATATCGTAGACAAGGAATACAGAGAACACGTACAAATCATAGAAATTTTTCTCCACAACCAATAGATGCACAACATCAACAACCAATTCAACAACAAAATCTAATTAATACACAATCTTTTCAACCAATTCAACAACAAAATCCAATGACTGCACACTCGTATCAAGCATCACAAATGCAAAATGAAATACCACTCCCATATTATCTCCAACAACATGAAATAACAAGAAACCAACTTTCAAATTTTTCTCAAATGCCAAATGCAGCAGAATCATTACAAATGACAATGAATCCATACCTTATGGGTGGATCATCAATAACATCAAACAAACCTTTAATGGTTTTCACAGGAACAGACCCTGAATACTCTGTAGAAGATTATTTAAATGCAGTAACAGCAAACCTGATTTTAAATATTGGACCTGAACCAATTAATACGCCACTACATCAAAATTGGATACATCGACGTACAGCGTTAATACAAACAACCTTAGATGGCGCAGCCCAAAAATGGTTTTCAGTACTACCTCTAGAAATAAAATCAAACTGGAAAAGGTTTACACAGGAATTTTCAAAAATGTTTGACTCCGAAAGAAACAAACAACAACAAAGAGTTTTATGTAATGAAATTCGCAGATTACCAAACGAAACCATCAAGCAAATAGCAGTACGAATCGAAACACTAGTTCGAAAAGCATATTCATTAAATACACATGACTATAAAAACACAAAGATGACAGAAATCTTAATGATGACCTTAACACCACAATTAAGGAAAATAGCAATAAAAAAGAGAGCATCCCATCCTTCTTCAATTCGAGAACCCGATTTAGATTTTCGAAAACTAGTAGACAAATTAGAACAAGCAGAAATCACGAT